ATGGTTCATAAAAAAAATTAAACCGCTTTTTATTCTAGCCGAAATAAAACATAAGTCTTTCTCCAAAAGAAAAAATATTATCAGACATACTGTAAAAATGTTCTTGCTCTGTTAAACATCATTTGGGAAATATTTAAAAAAAGAAGAAATAAATCAATGAGGGGCTAATTATTCAGACTTCAACTGTGTGTAGATAGATAGACAGACAGACAGACACAGACAGACAGACACAGACAGACAGACAGACAGACAGACAGACAGACAGACAGACAGACAGATAGATAGATAGATAGATAGATAGATCATAACAAGAACTGCTGCTTAATTTAATGCATGTAATAGCGACACCCGGTGGTTATTTATTGAATTACGTTCATTTTTGTATAGCGGGCCAGATTCTATTGATATTTATAAAAAGCCTCGTAGTTTGGCTTTAGTTTGGACACCGTAGTACGGCCCCTAAAAGGGCCGTAGTTTGGACACGCCTGGTGTACTGGAATGTACAGTATCTGTGCATCTTGATGGTGGTCTTAAGATTTCTGCCATAGTCATTGATGGTGATGGTACTTGTGGTGCTGCATTGATTTCTGAAATCTTCATACCTGCCTTTTATCCAGCCTCTTTGTTCCAAGTAATTTTTCTTCATCATGGTATAGATGTGTCTATACTGTCCCTTAATCAGATACATTTACAAAACAAAACATCACTTTAGTATAGTGCCAGGGCAAAACTCACAGGTCGTAATAGATCAATGACATAATGTTGACAGTATGTGTTTAAAATAATTGCAAACAAACCTGTTCTGTCTTTAGATGTATGACAGGCGATCATCATCCTCATCTGTCTACCAGTCAGAAATCACAGTTGCGTGTGGATGTTTGAGTCGAGCTTCCTCATATGCATCTATAATAAAACATCACATTGTTGTTAACCTCCCGTAAAGAAAAGTTCAAATCCTGAAATACTATCAAAGTTAATTAATGCATATAATACCTATAGTGTAAATAATCAGTACACAGAAGGTTGCACAAGATTTATTCGGAGATTCATGCAGAGTGACAGCCTTATGAATCTGAGACATAGATTTGTAAGATTGTCAAGCACATGCATTATTCTGTACCCATGAAGATTAACCTACCATTGTAAAAAATGTTTGATGATGATAGCCAATAACAATAAACCATTTCAGCTGTTTGTGAAGCAATTAGTAATGTAATGTCTGAAAAGCTCAATCTATGTTGAAAATATATCAGCAGTTTACAGCTTAAAATGGACTTTTAGCACACAACTATAACATGCCTATTCACGTTCAAAAGAGTGTGCCATTGACTTCTTTGGTCGTGATGTGCTGCAAAATGATCTCACTAACCTTTGTTAAACAAGAACAATAAGACTTAACCAACAAATATTGTTACCCATTCATTTAAATCAGAATTTATCACTGTCAATAACATAAAAAACAAAAAAAAACATCAAAATCTGCTTTAAGACGTTCAGTTTTACATTAACTGACCATTACAGCTTGAACAAAAGATATAATTGATTCACATAGGCTAACACATATGAATTAAAGTGCATAGTAATATATTTCTCTTGGATAATTTAAAGAGAATAGTAAACAGTCGAGTTTCGATCATTTTTCGTGACTAACTGCATAAACAAGATAAACAATAATATTTTATTAATCCAAAACGATTAGTTTTTATTTACACATAATCACAGAATTAATACTGTTGGAAAAGTATACGCCTGTACAAAGATTTTTTTCAACATCCACGGTACTTTATAATGTTAAATCAGGAAAAAAAAAACACGTTTTGCCAAGTTAGTTAATGGATTCGTCTACAGAAACTTTCTTTAACGCAAAGTTAGCATACACACAAATTCGTTTCATGTTTCTTTAAAATAATTAAAATAGTTTTCAGTTACTACACACGTTACAATCTAACATTGTGTAAAAGGAAAAGGAACTTTCAGACGTGTTTGTAACTGTTAGCGTTAGCATACATTAGCTCCAGTCGTGTTTCTTAAAGCAAGTTACATTTCGTATCAAACTGTTTTAAATTACTAAACGCTGTTACAACCAAACACCGTGGAAATGTTTTAAGCTCTAAATTCGCTAATTATACAGAACACAAGCAGTAAAAAGCTTACCTTTCTGACCGGAATCCACATGAAATCTTTGAAAAACCAAACTTTTTCTTCTTGTGATCTTCGTGCCATGGTGGTTGACAACCAGCTTTTTGGAGCATTAGCGCCACCGTCTGGATTGGAGTTTGGATCAGGAGTTTAGTAACGCATGTGTTTATTATGAAACCAACTTCTGCTTTAAAAAAAAAAAACAGTCAGCACAGGAGCGTGCTATCTCTAAAATAAGCGAATTTTACATAGTTTTTCTCTATATGACATGTATAATCTATTTATAAATAATATTGTTTTGTTTGCGTCTAAACATTGCGACCATCCACACTAAATATTCTTTTTTTTTTTTTTTTTTTGCCATCGTACCATGAATATTTTCTCAAATTATCATTAAACGTGGAGCTAACAGATTACTAGATAAAATAAGAACTTAATCGGTTGCCATCAGCCGAGTCCTTGCCAGAAGCGGCCAGGATATGGTTGACCGGAATCGGGCCAGTGCTTTACAGCCGCATCACAACCGCATGTGCGCGAGCGAGCTGCGGGCCGCACTCTGCCCGGATAACACTCGCCGATGCCGAGTCGGAGCCGGAGGCGCCGGGGGGCAGCCGAGCTCGGGCCGATTACTGCCTGCTATCTGGGTTAGTATATAGTGTAAATGCTGTACTTTACTGCATATCTACAATGTTTCTTCTTTCAGAGAGTCATGGAATTGGAGGCCAATCAAGTCCCACATGAAATTATCTATGTTGATGAGGCTGACTTCAACTTGGCGAAAAGGCGTCGCCATGGAAGAAACTTAATAGGCCAAAGGGCCACAGTTACCATGTCAGGCCAGAGAAGAAGAAGCTGGGCAAATGCAGAAGATCGGGCAGAATAGAAGATTACTTTGCTTCATTTTTATTATAATTGCTGTGCTTTTTCTGTGTGAATATCTTGCAGTGATGTCCTTTTGCAAATAAAGTCTATACTGCAGCAATTCTGTGTCTGTATTTTATGTTTCTTCATATAAACTACATTTTATAAAGCTACTCTGAGATGGTAGTTTTTTTTTGTATTGAATTTCAGCATCAAAAATACAAAATTCATGCATTTACTAAACCCAACAAAACTAAATAGTAGAGTGGCTTCCAATATAAGGGCAGAGCTGACACATAAAATAATGCAGTTTCTGTAATGTCAGCTGATGATAGTGTTTTTATGTTCAATGTGTTCTGATTGACTAAATGTTTCTGTTGGAAGAGAGCATGTGTTAGTGTTTTCAATCATTATTTGATTTTGAAACATGTTTACAGTGTTTTGTTAGACATGGTGTATTGTGTTAGTTTATTATTGTATTTTAAAAAGTAGTTTAGAGGTTTAGTTTACAATGTGTCATCTCGAGCATGAAATGAACTGTTTTGCCAATTGTGTGTTTTAGGTGTGTTGGTGCGTTAAGAGTTTAGCAAACCTGTTAAATGTATTGAAAAAACTGTCATAGCCATTGTAAAAAAACTAAATTTTGAGTCGCTGTGTGTAATGAAGGATGCCAGGTGTGTTCATTGTGTTCTAATATTGCTGACTGTGGCAAGGATTTTGCATCACATTTCATTTGAGAATATGAGCAGAGCTCTTTTGCAACTTGTTTTAGCAAGTAAAAATGTGTTTCGATTTATGAGAACTGAGGATTGTGTTTTGTAAATTTTGTCTTCATGTGAAATGTGTTTATGATATTGGAAAATGATGGCTAGATTTAGTAAATGTGTTTAGACAACTGGTCATTTGGTTTAGAGGATTGGCTTTTGTGTTTTAGCATTTGAGAAAAACTGCAACATACACACACCTAGTGCAACTCTTGCAGCTGAAGCATCATAGTTGATCCAGAAGGAGACCCAGGACAGGATGGTGATCAGGGTTGAAGGCATGTAGGTCTGCAGGATGAAATATCCAATGTTTCTCTTCAATTTAAAACTGAGAGACAGACGAGGATACGACCCTGAAAGTGAGAAATTGAAGTATTGTAAGTTCACAAAAATACATTCAGATGAATTCAGAAAAGAATCTTGGGTCCATGCAGGTTCCAATAGGTCTTCTGCAGTATTTGTGAGGATTGGGATGCAGTTTAACAGACGATTCATCTGAAAAATCTACTTTCTGCCACTTTTCCAATAGATCATATAGAAGTCAAGGTATTATTACCTTGCTTTTACAACTGGGATTGACCACAAGACTTTTGTCAGGTAGTGTATATAACATACTTGGAAAGTTACAGTCAGCTAGATGTGGGTTAAAAAAAGCATCAAATTAAAGAGTCAGCAGATATTCAGCAATCTACTAAATCTCTAATGACTGCTTGTTTACATATGGTTGCAAAGATACGTTTAGTCAGCAGAATGTTTAAAGGAGATGATCAAAATAAAGTATTACCCTAAAGACATTGATTTACAAGTAAAATCAAAGAACATTGTCTGTGACTCTATTTTATACAAAACCATGCCTTTAAAAGATAAACATGAACAACATTACAGCTAAGCATGCTATTTTTAACATTCTGTGCTGAAAAACAAACAAAACATTTGCAGCAGGACTCTATTTTGTTTGTGTGAAGGTAATTTTGGCATAAAGTGAAGGACAGAGGAGGGCTGACTCATCTCGAAAAACAGTCTATTCATCTCATGGACATGCAGGGAGCGCACTGTACCTGTGGCGAACACCACTTTCTTAGACAGTGTTTTATAATCAATAATAGAGAATTGCGGCAGCTCGATGTTGTCCACCCCCGTCACCGAACTTCCTCCCTGCCAGTAGAACTCAATGTCATCTGTGGTGTATCCATCTGAGAGACAAAAGAGGGACAGAAAGGCTCTCAGGAATACACAGATCTTCACAAAAGGCTCAAAGGGAAAGTGTGCTCGATCACGTTCCCACAGTCATGTGGTGTAAATCAGCATGTGATTGCGGTGAGAACACAGGTCTAACTGACACGATTGTCCCTGCAGACTCACAGCTCTAATCTCACAGTCCTGCAGAACATTAAAGCTTAATTAGAGGATGAAGCCTTCTGATACTCAATTCTCCCTGTTCTTCATTAAGCTCAATCAAAGGAAACATCAGCCTAGAGTGACTGAAGCGTAGCTGTAATACTCATGCTGGTTCCCTCTTTGCTGTCTGCAATGCTCTCTGAACTTTTTAATTATTATGTTCTCTTCTTTCTAATGTTGGAGGCTGAAATTGAAATTAAATTTGATGCTCCAAAAATAAACATTTTTGGCATGTTCTGCTTCTTCTGTGTTTACTATACAAATTTAAAGTAACATACTGTATGCCACGTACACGCTACAGTTAGATATGGCTGTTAGTTCACCTTACAGTGATTAATCCTGTTTAATACATAAACAGTTCTGTAAAGTGTCAACTACAATAAGCAACCAAATTAACTTCCGGAAATGAAGTTCGTGACCATGCTGTTTACAATACTCTGCACAACGAACTAAACTAAACGAACTGTTAATGAAGCGTTAATACATAATAACGTGGAAACGCATTAGGTGCAGGCGGTTTTGGCCCTAACGATCTTCCATATATCAGAGCTATCTCTCTCTTTCAGAATGAGATACAGTTTGAAGTCAGAATTATTAGCCCCTCTTTGATTTGTTTTTGTTTTGATTTTTTTAATATTTCCCAAAAGATGTTTAACGGAGCAAGGACATTTTCACAGTATGTCTGATAATATTTTTTCTTCTGAAGAAAGTCTTATTTGTTTTATTTTGGCTAGGATAAAAGCAGTTTTTAATTTTTTAACCCCAATTTAGGGTCAAAATTATTAGCCCCTATAAACAATATATTTTTTCGATAGACCACAGAACAAACCATCGTTATACAATAACTTGCCTAATTACCCTAAGCTGCCCATCTAATCTAGTTAAGCCTTTAAATGTCATTTTAAGCTGTAGAGAAGGGTCTTGAAAAACATCTAGTCAAATAATATTTACTGTCATCATGGCAAAGATAAAATAAATCAGTTATTAGAACTGAGTTATTGAAATTATGATGTTTACAAATGTGTTGAATAAATCTTCTCACCGTTAAACAGATTTGACGAAAAAAATAAACAGGGGGCTGATAATTTTGACTTTATCCGTACATTAGTGTTGCTAGATCCAGAAAAAACAGTAAATTAGACAAAATGAACTCATGGTAAATCCAAATTCTTCTTCTTAGGCTGCGTATACTATATAAAACAGTGTATTTTCATGTTGTAGAATGAAAACTCCCTTCTGCCATATTGTTTTTACGGCATTTGAGAAAAAATTATCTCTTTCTACACTGTACAACTTAAATGCTTGATACGTAGCCGTTCATGGTCACTGAGTTTGCCTAAATTTTGCAGGCATCTGTTTGTCCAGTCTAATAGTGGCACAGTGGTCATATGAGAGAGGCTTGTTGAATCAGGGAATGCTTCGTAATAGTCCAGAAAATCAGTCAGTGAGCAACTGTGGATCGCTGCATCTATCCACTTGTTAAGTGTGACGTCATGCGAAGGGGCTTCCAAATCCAATCGCTCTATGAAACTGACAGGGAGACTCATCAAATGGTAATAATAAATGTTTACAAAGTGATGTAATACTTTCGAAAATCACAATAGCAATATATATATATATATATATATATATATATATATATATATATATATATATATATATCCATGCCTAATATCCAATGGCCAGAAAGTGATCCATTTTTTTATAAATTGTTAAAATTTTGGTATTTGTGATGCAGCAAGTCCAGAAACCGGCGTGTACACTATGATTTTATATAAAATTCACTTTAATGTGTGATAGGACTAAAAAGTGTTCATAAACGAATCAATTCAAATGTGCAGCGACTTGGACCCGGAAACAGTATTCCATACGTCACCGATACGTCACGACTTAACAAGCGGATTCTGAAAAACTATGAGTCAATCTAGGGCCATATATACTTGCAAAATAAAATAAAGTTTTGCAGTTTGCAAATCTACAAAAATAGCCAAGCAAAAATAAATTTTTGAGAAATAATAAACTGAAAAATAAAAAACTGCAAAGGGAAAAGTTATGAGAAATTAAAATGAAATTTGCAAAATTAAAAAAAAACCTAACATTTTTTTATAGCATAGCGTTTAGAAAACCAAACATTTAAGGGAACTTGGCCTTTTACGCCAGGCCCAGATCTACTGGGCTGTAAGAACATGATACAGTGCCTCCAGGTGATGTGGTTGGTACAGGAACTGTAAGAAATATACATATCAAAGTTCTAAAAGCAACTAATATTTTTTGGGGGATTTTTTTTTATCAATTTAATGAAATGTTTTACTTATTATTTTTGCATGTCGTTCTCGTAAATTCACTAGAGGCCACTGTGTACATTTCTGTGAGTGTAAACGTCAGGCTCAGCTATATAGTGGCAAAAGACGTCATTTCACCCCGTATAGTTTCATTTAATACACAAAATGCAGCCATACATTGATTCAGGCACATATTTTACTGCTCCCAAAAAAGGCCGGTACAACGTGACGTCATTGGGTTTTCAGCATTTATTCATGAGAAACACTTGGTTTGAACCAATCAGACTTTATTAATATGCATGATATAACTTCAAAGACTCTTTCACCCGTTTACAGTGTTCAGTGAGAAGCCACGGTGTGTTGCCAACTGTAATTAAAACCAGTAAAAGAATTGTTCAGAGACATGGGTCGTCAATGTTGCGTTTATAAATGTGCCGCAACGAAGGTTTTTTTTCCATTTCCCCATGATGAGAGCACAGCTCGCATGAGGACCCACATTTGTGGATTACAGTGGTCTGCTAACACGCAACAAAAATATGTTTGTAAGGAACAGTTTTTACCCGAGAGCTTTTCACATCTGGAAATGGGTTTGCTGCTCGTCTTCTTTTTAAAAAAGACACAGTTCCAGTTGGTGTTGATGGTCCTGTCTCTATGAATTTGGTAAATGTGTGATCAGTGTTCTTTGTTTATGTTTATTCAGATGGCAAAGTTAGTTAGAATTGTCAGCAGTACTTTTTAGTTTTTAAGACATACCTTAACTGCACATGGGTTCAAGCATGTGTACTTTGGTTAGTGTTAATAATGCAATTAATGTGTTAACATGTATATTTATTGTGATTAAACCCATGTAAGCCACATAGTTTAAATGTTAATATAGTTCCTACGATTATAAGCTTAATCATCACTTAATTAATGTAATGTGTTTACATGAGCTTAAGTCTCAGATATCTCATTATAATCACATTTTTCACAATGCGATGATAAGTTAATGATGACAGAATTCTCCTTTAAGAACACCCTATTTGCCTAAACATTGTTTTTTTGGTCTCAGTGAGCCTCATATCTTGTCCTGTCCCATGGATGAAGTGAATGTGGTGCAGGTGACACGTTGCTGTGTTAAAGTGACATGGTTTGTGTCGGCTGTGATGATGCTGTTGAGGTTTCTCCTTCATGCTGTGATATGCATCTCAGTGCTCTGACATGACAGCAGCCTCACAGGGCTACAGCTGTCTGCCCAACAGAGCAGACACCCAATTACAAACACTGTCTGTCACACCCAGAGAGACAAAGTGCAAAAGAGATGGAGAGCTGGAGTTGAAAGTAGCCAAGAAGAAAGAGTGGCAGAGAGTGAGAGAGTCACAGCGGCTGAGAAAGATGAAACGCTGAGATTAGTCAGCACAGCCTGCTTCTCTGCAGGTAGTTTTATGATAGATGAGATGATGCATAAATGCATTACGATTACACAAGTGATTGCGCCAGTTTTGCTGCATTGTTGTGAAATTGTTTCTTGCACTGCATACAATGAAGATACTCCAGCTTCTTTTTATTGAACATTTTGATTTTGAACAAAGCTTGAGATCCACTCAACAAAATATGTAAAATAAAATAAAAAAGTAACATTGTATTGATAAGTACAAACTCAGGATTGAAACATAAATGATACAGTCTCTCTCAATTTAACCAAAATTGTACAGTTTTTTTTTTTTTTTACTGGGACCATTTTTATTGGCTGTGGTGTATTCCAGACTAATAATGTTTAGTAGATAGAGCCTCCAAGATAGATCAGTTGGACCAAATGGATCCAGCCATAATTTCAGGATTGTTTTTTTTTTTTGCAGCAGCAAAAGCAGTAGCAGTCAGAACTACTGACAAAGTGCTTTTTTGGTTTATGTATAAGGAGAGTGATGAATCGTCCAGTAGAGATCTGCGCGGGACAAAATTTTGAATCCCGCTCCCGCCAGGTTTTAGCCCAAACTCGACCGCTTCCGCTTATATTCAGCATTTGTTGTCCCGCTGCCCGCCTCGCCCCATTTTCTACCCGTCGTCCCCGATCCCGCTAAAGAGCAGAGGGGAGAACAAAATCGAAATCCACCCAGCTATACAGAGTCCAGACAGCCTATAACAAGCTGTCTGTATAAACACACACACACACACACACACCTCTCATTCACGCACACACACACACACCTCTCATTCGCGCACACACACACACACACACACACACACACACACACACACACACACACACTCACACAGCAACGAACAAACAAGCTAAACACAGCATCGCACTGGGAACGATATTGCTAGACGGCCTGCTCCCGTCCCAAATTAAACCTGTTACCGACCGCTCCCGCGCTTAATTCGGAAATTTATTTCAGCGCCACAGAAATCTGGTTGGGTCCCGCAGCTTGCGCGGGACAGCCGTGGGAATGCAGACCTCTACCGTCCAGCATAAGAAAAAGCAATGGGTCCCAATAGATCTGAGTTTTCATTAGTTCTGATATAATGTCTCGTCCCTTGGTCCAGAATAATGCAATTTGGGGACATTCCCAGAACATATGTATATAAGTACCTTGTGTAGATACTCCAGCTTCTTTAAGGAAAGTTTTAAGTTCAAACTTAACATATAGCATGTTAGAGAATGTAAAGTGCTGTGCTTATAGCTTGTTTGCAATCAGAAAATTGGCAAGGAAGTAAAGAAGAAGCCATAGAGAAAAGTCTATATTTTATAAGCTGTCTAATGAACTGAAATATCTGTAAAGATCCCAGAGGTCAGCTCTCCATATACGACATATTAGGGAAGTTTTTGGTTTCAGACGCAACATTAGGTTTCAATTCAAATAGGCTTCATCAAAATTGGACAATAAAAATATGGAAAAGGTTGCCTGGACTGATGAATCTCGATTTCTTGTGACATTCAGAGTGTAGGGTCAGAATTTGATCTGTTTTTGTCAGGCTGCAATGGCGTGGTTTATAATGATGGACATTTTCTTGGCACACTTTGGGCCCCTTAAGCACTGATTAAATGACACAGCATTTCTTAAGTATTGCTGCTGTCCACATCCATCCGTTTATGACCACAGTGTACCATTCTATGATGGCTGCTTCAAGCAGGGCAATGCACTGTCACAAAGCACAAATGATTTCAAACTAGTTTCATGAATATGACAATGAGTTTGCTTAAGTCAGTGACTTCCACAGTGGCCAGATGTCAATCCAGTAGAGCAGTTCTTGTGTGTGTTTAATGGGAGATGGACATCATGAATGTGCAGCAACTGTGTATAAAAAATATGGACTAAAACATCTGAGGAATGTTTTCTTTGTCTTATTGAATAAATGCTTCAAAATAAAAGTTCAAGAATAAGAAAAGTTCTGAAGTTGAAATAGGTGTCCAATCTAGTACCAGTAACTAGTACCTACAGTAATAGTGAACGATGAGTGTATTCAAGCCTCAAATTACACTTCTAACCACAAACCACTTTTGCACTGGCATTTGTGAACAAATATCATTACCATGATTTCAGCAAATTGTTGAAATTATAGTGAAACATACACTCACCGGCCACTTTGCTAGGTCCATCTTACTAGTACCGGATTGGACCCACATTTGCATTCAGAACTGGCTTAATCCTTCATGGCATAGATTCAACAAGGTACAGAAAAATTTCCTCAGAGAATTTGCTCCATATTGACATGATAGCATCACGCAGTTGTCAACCAGATTCCATAGGTGTTCTATTGGATTGAGATATGGTAACTGTGGAGGCCATTTGAGTACAGTGAACTCATTGTCATGTTCAAGAAACCAGTCTGAGATGATTCATGCTTTATGACATTGTGCGTTATCCTGCTGGAAGTAGATGGGTACACTGTGGTCATAAAGGGATGGATATTGTCAGCAACAATACTCGATGCTAAATTAGTACTAAGTGTGCCAAGAAAACATCCCCCAAACCATTACACCAGCACCACCAATCTGAACCCTTGATACAAGAAAGGATAGATCTATGCTTTTATATTGTTGACACCAAATTCTTACCCTACCATCTGATGCTCACTGGATAATTTCTCTTTTTCAGACCATTCTCTGTAAACCCTAGAGATGATTGTGAATGAAAATCCAAGTAGATTACCAGTTTCTGAAATACTCAGACCAGCCCACCTGGCACCAACAATCATGGCATGTTTAAAGTCACTTAAATCACCTTTCTTCTCCATTCTTATGCTCGGTTTGAACTGCAGCAGATCGTCTTGACCATGTCTACATGCCTAAATGCATTGAGTTGCAGTCATGTGATTGGCTGATTAGAAATTTGTGTTAACAAGCAGTTCGACAGGTGTACCTGATAAAGTGGCCGACGAGTGTATGCATGGACATGCAACCGTTAGTTGGCTAATGCTGTTTTTATTATACACGTTGCAGACAGTGTAATAAACATGATTGTAAATTAATTGCTCTGCACTAAAAACCACTGGCACAAAGAAAATAAGCTAAAAATTCATTACACAGTCACTTTTGGAGTCAGATTTACTAATAGTTTGCATAAGCAAAAGCCTTTATCTGGCATTTAAAACACTATCGTCAGGGTTTACCAAAGACGCACAATGAAAAATTAGCAACTAAAAGGTGTGGATACAGTCATTTTTGTGGCTGCATATGCACTTTTAAGATTTCCCTTTGACTTCAGCATTTATATAAAAAAAGTATTCAAATGAATCCTGCAATATGATTTACTAAGGTTTGCACTAGTTGATTTATGATATTTGCACTGCCTTACAGAGAGTAGAAAATAAGCACATTAAGCACTAATCTGCTCCATTGAATAAATCTAGTACTTGGTGTAATTTCATCTGCCACAATACTATAATGACTTTGAATAATCTCAGCTATTACTTATACAGTACATGTAATAATTGTGATATAAAGTCAAGCAACAATGATATATAGCATAGAAACCCTAAATAACACTCACAGCTTTCAATCTCCAGCGTGCAGTTCTGCTCATCCAGTGGGTATCTGCGTAAATCCATCATGCATGCAGCGGTAGTCGTTATCCTACAGATTTGAGGCAAAAAACAACACAATGTTATTACAGTCATGCAGTTATGAGGCCTACAGAAGGGGTCAGTAACACTGTCACGAGAAGGGATAATTGGCAAGAGAGTTGACTGTATTTTAATTAAATGAAGCTGACACACTTGAAACGCAGTAGTTATTCTTAACCCCAGGTAAACATACTCCTGCTGTAGGTTGTCTGTAGGTCGTCTGCTCATACTGCATGTAGAAAATGTACATTAATTAATTATGTATGTACTCTGACCTGTCCACCAAGTTACCTTTACATGCATACTCACACACACACACACACACGAACACTCATGCACATACCAGTACCTGACTATATTGTTGTTGTTTTTTGTTTTTGTTTTGTTGCTTTGTATTTGTTATTTGTTGAAGTTTTCTTGTATTTGTATGATTTTTGCATATTCTAATAAAAAAAAGAAAAAAAAAGAAAAAGAAAATGTACATTAAAAAACATATGCCTATTAGGATAAACTGAGGAAAATGTGTATGCACTAACACTATGCAGAAACAATCACTCATACACTTTCTATTGACTTCATCAGGGGTTGCCAAAGTGGAATGATCTGCCAGCTACTTTGACTCGTTTTCCAGCAGATGCCCTACCCACCACAACCAAGAACCCTCAGTGATGGAAACCACACACTCTCCCATCCACACACTGGACCAAATTAGTTTAGTTCTAATTCACTTATACAGCATGTCGGGGGAAACTGGAACACCCGGAGAAAAGCCACGCAGATATGGGAGAACATGCGAACAGAAACGTCTCCTGCTCCAGCTGTGACTTGAACCAGTGACCTTCTTAATGTGAACCAACTGTACCAGCCGCTTAGCCACTATGATAGAAACACATTTACCAACCCAGGCTCATTCTGATAACGTACCTCTTGCAAGAATCAGCTCTTTGGTTTAAATCATGTTTAAACTTTGGGGATTCGAATCAAAGATTCGAACATGATTCACATAGAATTATTTAAAGCTTACACTTAACTTTAGTATTTGTCCAGCAAATAGAACGTTTAGTGTAAAGCAATTCTGTATTATATTATTACGTGTCCAACAATAACAATATAAAAACAGTATCTAATTATTTAATGAGCAAGGTAGCAGTATCTGAAGCTGAGGCATTAACTTATAAAGCACACAACACACCAACACGGATCTTAAAACGAAACAAAAGTTTATTGCTACTTCTATAACACAAAGTACTAATCTACGTAAAACAAACAAATGCACATACATACACACACACAAGCAGTTTGAGGAGAGTTTTGACTGAGTGGATTCAACTTCTAGCCTTTGCTAAGTTCTTAGCATTGCAACCTGAGAGAAACCATAAAAGCAGAGAATTTTGCTATTCTTTACTACTTCACACCAGATTCAGTAATGGGTAGAAACCTTGTTTGTGCTACTTGCGTTCTGATGTAATTTTGGTTTCCTCGACTGGTCCAAAGGGAAATCCCGGCGAAGCTGATTGGTCAGCGTAGCAACTTCAGTGACGTGATGGAATTCCCTTGTCGGTGAGGAGGGGTTTCCTTAGTCGGTTGCTAGGGATACGGATGTTGGACAAGGCAGCGTTCGAAGTCCTTCCTGGGTTCCTGTAGTTATGATGAGTTTCAGAGTTTGGATGTGTTGACCCGATGGCTTGTTGTTGAAGCGGTTGCACAAGCAGATCGGGGGTCGAGCCGGCAGCAAGTGAAGGTCGCGATCTGCTCCGTGATGTAACGAGGCTTCCGGCGAGGCGATGTAACGGCCACAGCACGAGAAGAGCGACGTCCGGGCAGCGACGGCGGTGACGACTGGCAAAGATGACCGGCAAAAGACGACGATGAAATTCCTTTGTTCAAAGTTTTATAGGCTTTGGTAGAGGCTGGGTTTACACAATACTTGTCCAATCAGAGAAGGTGCAGGGTGGAGTCACACCCCAATTCCGCCCTCTAGAAGGCCGGGTTAGCAAATTGTGTCGGTGCTGCTTTGATAGCATAGTTGTTAAAATAAAGTCTCATAACATGGACACCTTTCATAATATGGTTTCTTCATATAAACCAATGCATTTGAAACTTTCCTAGCTTTCAATCAATACCAAACATAAAGTATTTCATAAACATTCTGTAGATTTCATTTGTCACTGAGGGCTATTACTCAAGAACTATCTATAATAGTTTTGTTAAACACATGGAACATGTACACACAAAAACCTACAGAAACATAAAGCAAACATACATTACTCAAATAAACACAGTTTTACTGTATGTCCATTAAACTTTGCAAGCGTTTCTGATCGCTTCTGTGTCTGCCTGAGAATGTGTATTCCTTGCAGACGCCAAAGGACACGCGAACCAAAAGGTACTTCTCAAAAACCGGTTTGGTGGGTTTTTGATTGTAGAGCCTCTTATTGTTTTAAGGTGTAAAGTTAATTAACACGCAACTGTGATGTTGACTGGCTAGTCATCCTGTGGATTGCCTTTTGCTGGGTGCCTGTGGATTGCTTTGAAAATTAAATCAAAGTTCAGACATGTAGGCACCAACCAATCTTTTAAGGATAACATGGTCTGTGACTTGTTCGGTTCTGGAACGATCCGTTGACTCCCCACACTCTATATTCATTACTGGAGAGTGCCAAATACGTCCCAGGAGCTACGTTTTTTTTTTTTTTTCTGCAGTTTTTGATTGCTGTGTGTGCATTTTGAGATCTCAAATTTCTCTTGCGAGTGCCATTTGCACCTTCTCACGTAAACCCACCAGAAGCCACTGTTGGCTGACTGTTTGACTGATTCAATGACTGACTGACCGATCAACTGACCCACCCTCCTCCTTCCCCAATCCCAACCCAATTGTGTTGATTGACCTGCCCACCCACACCCTTTTAAAAAGCAATTCAGAAAAATAAATACTCATCTGATTTTTAGCATGTTTTAAGATTTTACCACATTCTCTCCCTGTTATTTACTTGTTTATTTTATTTTTTGGATTATGTTTTTGTCTTACTTGCTTTCTGGAACCGTTCTTCGCTGGACTTAAACCCTGTCATTTTGGTCAACTCCTCTTTGCGTTTCAAGTCCATTATCGTACATGGTGAGCTACTGGACAAACTGGTAACAGCGGGAAAGTCATCCATACAGAGGTAAGCGGTCAGCTGGTAAGCGTGAAAAGGAACGATGTCATACCACCCCGTAGCGTTTGTTTTAAAGATGAAATGCAGCCATATGTACTTCTGGCTATGTTTTTAGAGTGAGCCTACGTTGACATTTACAGAATAAATTCCAGCATGTGTATCAAAAAAGTAATGTGGTTGTGTTTTAATCCACATTATATCACGTTATAACAAAAATGGGAGAAATGAGACTCCATTAATGAAGAAATCAGGAGACAAACCACGTTGCGCATGTGAAATGTTGCTTTCGTCAGTCTTTTTACCTATATTTTTATTTTCGTTTTTAGTTTGTACACACTGAAATACAACATTTTACAAACATTTTTTACAACAGTAACCTTGCTGCATTTACAAATCATACAAAATATGAGGATATATATATTGAATACTAAAAAACAAACAAACAAACAAACAATAAAATAATACAAGTAAAACTGCTCCTCTTTTTGTCGTTAATGGTAATTTATTCAAACATGACAATTAAAATCATACCAGAAATATAAGAATGGAACTGTATTGTCCACCAAAAATTATTCATCAACTTCTTCCTCTGTTAATTCCACTTCTTTGATTTAACTAATGAAAGACTCCATATGTTTCCAAATACGCGCTGTTTAGCTTTTAGTATACGAGTTATTTTTTCTAATGGCAGGCTTGACAACATTCGTCTTATCCATTGAGAAGCGTTTGGTCTTTGCATCTTTGTCCATAGCAAAGCTACACATCTTTTGGCATAAAGTAAGCTGAGGTCTATAAATACTTGTTCGCTCCTACTATACTTTGAGTCCTCTGGAGCCCAGTAAAAAAAGCTTTGGGTCGAGGAGGATTTGTTTTGAAATGATCTTTTCACTTATGACTCTTACCTCTTCCCAAAATAATTTAATCTTTGTATACCGCCAAATACAGTGAAACAAGGTTCCTCTAGCTTCCAAACATTGTGTACAAATATCTGGTATGTTTTCATTCTATCTATTTAATTGCACTGGTCCATTTATATTGTATTTATTGACATAATGTAAGCCTTTGTGCGGGCTTCTTCCCAATCTTCATCCAAAACTATTTCATTTGTGAAGTTTCATAAACTAATTTCGAGAGGAGCACGTCATATGATTGTGCACCGCTGGCCACTCATCCGTAATCAGTAATAATCCAATCAGAATGATCCTAGCTTAGTATAAATGGATCACTTTCTCCTCATTGCATCTTCATTTTGGAAGAATGCTTCCCGCTACAAACGCTCCAGCCAATAGCTTAAAGGGGAAGTATCACCATCCAACGAGCTTTCCAAAACTGGAGACGGTCCCGCCTTCTCTCCTGACAAATTCATGAATGGACTGCGTGCAGAGACTTTGATTCCGGCCAAATAATCATGTTGAGATTACAGACATGTTACTTATCATGGATGGAGTAAAGCCATGATAAACATTACATTCACACAGTTCCTATTAAGTGGCAACATCGTTTTTTAAGTTTGATGTAGGCAGTTGATATATTTACATTTTATTAATAATTATATATACATATATTAAAAAAAAAAAAAAAGTAAATAAAATTCTGAAATGAGTATTATCCAGCAAGTGATAGACAACCTACACATCAAGCAGTAACCCTTTTGTATCACGCCAATTGTGACTCTCATATCAATACACCTGAATGTCAGTCAGTTTATAATGACAGTAAGAAAACAATTTCCTGCTCGACTGCAACAAACAAGAGGAGGACATTTCTGGCCATGGAGTAGCTTTTCATACTTATACTTGTGTTAAATACATTCGAGTTTTAAAAACTTCTATATCAGTAAAGCCTGATTTATACT